ACCCCTTACGTGGACTGCACAATGGATGTGGCCTACGAAATCCCACTAAGTTGTGGCAAGGTATACATCGGCCAGACGGGGCAGTGCATCAATGAACGAGCACGGGAGCATGCATTATCAGTAAAAAATATAGCGCTTGTCCTGTATACTTCTCGTCATTGTCTTTTTTCCATTATTTTATATGTTTAACTAAGATGAACCAACAAGCCCAGCAACGTACCCCGCTAAACTATTGTATTTTTAGCTTATCTCCCCTTCTGAATCGCTTCTCTTCGTGGGTAAACGTTTTGGGATGAAAAGTTTTTTTTTTTTTTTTCTGTGCGTGAGTGCAGTGTATTTCTTAGCTTTCTCCCCCTTCTGAATCACTTCTCTTCGCTCAATTTTGTTTGCAACTTGAGCTTGTGGAATTTTCTTTCTTTCCTACTTTTTTTTTGGGGGAAGGGAGAGGCTAGAAGAAGACTGTTTGCGCGTTTTTGGAAGCCTTTCCGGGGGCGAAAAGTTTGATATAGCCAATATGTTGTTCGTTATAAAAAGTACTTTTTACATGCATTTTAATTTAAACTTTCCGTGAGTTCGATAACGACAGTAATTCGTTCTAAACGGGTTTCACTGTATATGTGATAAGGCGCGAGTACACCACTGGGAAAATATTACAGTACCGAGTAATGGCGACACCTCCCTATCGGTTTCAGATTTAAACACGAACCCTCAGCTGCATGCTCGGAACCAGGTACTCAAAAGCAACTTAGTTTAAGCTGTCAAGAAAAAGAAAATGCACACACACGAAACGTTCCACATGTCGAGGTGGCTCTGTAGAAGAAACGGAATATCGATAACATATTCAGACTGGTTCGCCTTGTAGTATTTCAATTTTTTCATTTAAGTCTTGCTCGCCACACTAACTAGATGGCGCCCCGCTCTGCCACAACAACCCCCGTAGCCAGGCGGTGCTACTGTTAACCCATTGGGTTGTGCGCCCAGGTGGATGTTCCCCGGGGCAGTTGGCCCCCGTGTTGTTTCCCCTGAATAAATGAGTATGTGTTTGGACCCTGACTGTGAACGACGTCCTCCTTCCGGGGCGTTCCCGCCTTGGGGTTGCCGGTGCTCGCCCCGCTTCGGCATGTGAGGCTACATCATTTCAGCAGGCCGCCTCGGCCCTGCTTCTTCTCCTTTCTTTTAATTTTGTGTAGGCTCCGAATTACTACATTTTTGGCGAACGAGGATGGGATTTTCTTTTTGGTTTCCGATTCGAAGCCCGCTGCGTAAGGCCTAACTCTGCAGCCGGTGTTTCACTTCCTTTGTCTTCGTGACGCCACGTTTTTTTCTCCCGCGCGAGGTGTGCCGGATTGGGCCCCGGCAACCTCTCGTTCCATTCAATTCTTTCCCCAAAGTTACGCTTCGCCGGATTGGGCCCCGGCGGGCGTCATTTTTTCACATTTTTTGTGGAGAATTTTTTTACTTACGCTTTCGAGCAGCGTCGTGCCGTTGGGTTCCGTGGTGGAGCCTTGAGAGCGCTCGCGTCCTACTCGAGGTTCGATCTCAAGGCAGCGGACTCGGTTCTTTGTGTATACTGCCCCTAACAAGATTTCGATGAGGTTCGGTCTGAAGGAAGTGGACTGGGCTCCTTGTGGATGGAATCCCCAGCGGGATTTTCGACTTTGTTCTCGGGCGTCGGGGTCCGGACCGTACTCTGCGCTTGCAGATTGCGCATATAACAAATGCTTTTATGCATGTACATAGTCACAGTCATGGAAGTGCCATTTGACCTTTTGGAGCAGGCCTTGTAGCAGGCAAAATGTTGTTTTGGAGCAGGTAGTGGCCCTTTTGGAGCAGGGTCCGGCATATCTTGGCATATTACTTGAAAATGAAATAATGCTGCATTGCTATATAAAGCACATCTCTATTATTGGAACACAGCGCCTGTCGCCTTTTTAAGAGGATATATAATATTCAACAAAGTAAGCAAAAAAAGACATTTCTTAAATAAAGTTTATTTGCTCGCCAGATAAAAAAAAATACAATTAAATATGTCACACGGAGTTCTGATGGTACAGGACATTTAGTTTTATCAGCCTGCACCTCTGTTAAGGTATCTGCAGCAGCATGTAACGACCCTCACTGTTGTGGAATGTTTTAGTTCAGATTAGAGTTGTCTTTCGGGCAGCCGCTTCAAATATTGCGGTATCTAATATTCGCTTCAAAGATTCCGATTCATTTTCGATGTGCTGGCGAAATCACGATCGGATCACGGCGAGTTAACCCGTTGAGTGCGCTCCTTGGCATGTACCGACGCGCTGTAGAGAAGCGAAACCCGCAAAGCAGACACCGCAGTCGCGCGAGTCGCGCAGTGCTTTGTACTCCGAAAAGGACGGTGAGGCTTTGCCAGCAGTACATCCAGAGTTTGGTGCAACTCAACTATACTTCATTTCAGCTTCGGTGCGAACGCAGCCGAAGCTGCAAGCGCGCGCATGGAGCCCGTAACGGTGCCTACACTGCACGAGCCCAAGCGCGAGTCAGAAATGCACAGAGCATTGGGCTCGCGCTAGCTTTGATTTCGCTGGTAGCTAATGGACGGGAACAGGACGGGCCAACATTGAAAACATCCACAAGCTCGGCCTTTTTTTTTTTTTTTAAATAGGCTGCTCAGTGGGATGGTTCTTCTAGGTTCTTCGCTTAGCCTCTGCGGGTTTGGTCTCAGATGTTGCTAACGTTGTTCCTTTCAGTGATGGTGATGATAATGCGTTCTCGCAGTTTCGGTTTGCGTAACAGTTGCGGCGCGGAAAATACCGCGGTACCGCCACGCGCTCTGATAAGACTTTAATTTTTATTTTTTATTGCTTCATCTCATCTCGGCGCAGGCATGACGCAATTCTTCGGTAAATTCACAATTTGGCGCTACATGTAGCAGGATTGCGTCCTTGGCGCAATTTGGCGCAATTGGCGCAGCACTTCCATCACTGTAGTCATATCTTTTGCAACGCGTATGTTTAGGTGCGCAGACATACAATTTTTGTAAACCTTTTGTAGGGTAAGAGCCCCATGAAACGCTCGTACAACCCCGACGTGGTTAGGGTAGAGCGACTGCCGGCCGTTATGCAGAACGGAAGACTCCCGCCGAGGGATTCAAAGCAGCACTGCTGCGAAGTCTAACAGGTTGAACGCACGCGAAGGCTGCACGTTGAGGACGCGCGTTGAGCTTAGACGAGGGTTGGCTCCTCGACAAAGTGCTATAATTCCCCGTCGCCAAAAGGTCGTAAAGCGGCGGGCTGCGAGAACAAAGGACGCCTTCGTCAGTTGTGTCCAAGATGGCGGCTGCGCAGGGTCTCATTCCCGCCGACGTCCTCCCCACGCCTGGAACGCCGGTAATGCCGTGGCTTACTTGGAAGCGGGGTTTCCTTAACTATCTTGAGGCGACCGACGCCGTAGGTTTTCCGTTGAAGTGGAAGAGGGCAATTTTGTTGTCCTTCTTGGGGGAAAAAGGGAATCGCGTCGTGGATGCGTTTAACCTCGCGGGTCCAGCCGTTGATGCGGCTCAAGATGAGTTTCAGGTGTTGTTGTCCGCTCTGGACACGCACTTCGCTTCCGCTCAAAATGTCGTAGTTGAGTATTCAGTGGTGGTCTATTTACATATTATTTACAGGAGAAGACTGCCGAGATCGGAGGTGAGCTACGAGCCCTGCGAACATGTCGCTAGCTCAATCAGGAACAGTGCGTGAGGCGTGGCCCGTGCTGAGGCCGCACGTCTTGCCTATTGCAAAATGAAGACGATGAAGTCCCATCGTAACACTTCCCCCTTCTCGATAAAACTAATCAGTTTCTCGAAAACGCACTGGTTTGTTTGTAACGCGCTTGGGGCGTGTTCTGGGTAGAGGAACCGGAACAGACGAGGAGGATGGTCCAGGAGAACTTTCTGATGTCGGTTCAGTATTCGGCATAACAGAGCCCTGTCCCTTGATGATCGGTGTAGGCTCTGGAAGTGAAAACGCACCAGATGTGTTCGCTGTTGAGAATTCCGTCTCTGAAGATGCCTGGCCTGAGGCACATACATCTTTGTGTTCATCGGGATCCGAGTCGAAAAGTGGATAACTTGAAATTAGAGACGATGTTGAACTGCATTGTTCCGAATGTTGGGCTAACCGACTTCGCATGTCGTCAATGTGTCTTCTTTGTATTCTTCCATCTAAAGTCGTTACTTCAAATGATCGGGAACCAACCTGACGGAGCACCTTAGCTTCTATCCATTTCGGTTGTCCCGCGAATCCCTTAATAAAGACGGCTTGTGAATTGCTGAACTTAGCGTCTTTGTAGCCTTCTTCACCTTCCTTACCCCGCGGATGAATATAATCCAATGGGCAAAGCAATTGTCGTCCGAACATCAACTCTGCTGGTGTTTTCCCAGTTGTTGAGCTTGGTGTTGTATGTTGCTTATACAAGAACCGTGCCAGTCGGCAGTTCAGACTTCCTTCTGAAAGTTTGCGGAGCGACTCCTTCGTTTCCCGAACCATTCGTTCGGCTTGGCCGTTGGTTGCTGGGTGATAGGGGGCACTTGTGATGTGCCGGATGTTATTGGCTTGCAGGAATTGATTGGTTTCCTTGGCTAAAAATGGCGTGCCATTGTCGCTGCAGACGACTTTCGGGATGCCAAATGTGGCACCCGAAAGTGCCACATTTGCTGAGGGCATGTCGGAGGGGGGAGAGGAGGCATCCACTATAAAAGCAAATGCCTTCCTCTCTCTGCCAGTTGGTTGACTGAGAGAGGTTGGGACCTCCGTGTTGCTCTCGGATCCAGGTTTCAGTGGGGCTCGAGACCTCAAGACTACGTGCGGAAGTAGCCGATGCCCCCCCGCAAGAACGAGAGATCCCTTCGATCTCAGTCCGCCCGCCCACCCACATCTCGTACAGGCGCACCCGAGGATGGAAGCCCTATGCCAGCAGTTACGCCGCCTGGCCCTACGAGTCGCGTCCCCTTGAGCTCCGTACCCGCCCCGCCGTCCAACCCGATGGCCTCCAGACCCTCCGGCACCCCGGCGCCGGCGACCCAGGAGCTCGTCTCCGCACTCACTCTCGCCCTTAGGGCTGCCTTCCCGGACCCCCCGCCTGCCCGACGTGCTCGTGTCACCGAGATGGCGCAGCCCATCCCCAGCGCCACGACAGACGACGACGAGGAAGATCTCATCTTCCGAGGGTATCCTTCCAGTCAGGACCCAGCCGGCCGGTACCGAGCCCGCATCCCAGATGACTCGGACCCCAGTTCCAGCAGCAGTGGCGACTCCCCGCCCCGCCGGGACCCCCACTACCCCCGCCACATCAACCCTTCCCGTGCCCCTACCGGCAATAGAGGCCAAAGACTCTTCACGACCCGTGACCCCCCGACCCGTCGGGACTTCCGAAACGCCTTGCTGTATGTCGACCGAGCCAGCCGACAGTCCCGCTTCTTTGGGACCTGGGACGTCGTCGAGCTACAGACCCTCGAGTTGTTCCTCCAAGTCTGGGATTCCGATCCCCCTCTCCGACCCTCTGCCAAGCTCCGTGTCTTCGACAGAGTGCGCCTCCTTTATCACGTTGCGCTCACCGGATGGCAGGCCGCCCTCCAGGGGTACGCCGACCCTACGGCCTCCTACCTTCTGGAAGCCCCGCTCCCCACTCCACAGGCCCCCCCTCCAGCATCTGATAGACCCTCCAGGCCACCCAACCGAGGACGAGGTGCGGCCAACCGCGGTGGCCGACCACGACAGCCCGCCACCCGAACCCGCGACGTCCCCGACGCCGCAGAGTGAAGCCGCGACGTCCCCGACGCCGCACGGTGAACTTTTCCCCCCGTTACGACGGACCACCGCAACCCTTCCTGACCACCTGCTCCACCGTCTGCCCCTCTGGGACACAGTGGATTACGCGCCTCTTCCCCACACACCGCCACCCACAGTGGTGAGTTCAGACCTGCCTCCCCCTCTTGTCCAAGAACTGATAGAACCTTTAGACATAGTGCTGCATGACCCTCAACCAGTACTAGTGTCTATAGCCGGCCAACCTATAGTGGCCGTAGTTCAGGATGTCATAGACCCCCCTGATCTTCTTCTCCAGGCCCTTAAGGCTGCAGACATCCCACTCCCGTTGCCTGTGCAACCTGTGTCTCCTTCTCCCGCACCGTTCTCCTCGGAACCCTCCTTGTCCTCCTCCTCCCTCTCCTCATCGGAAACGGAGGAGGAGGACACCTGGGTCCTCGCGGCCGATCGCATTCTGCGGTGGCTACGAGACCAAGACTCTGATGAGCCCTCACAAGGGGACGATGAGTCTCCAGAGGAAGACTCCCGTCTTCCCATCCTACCAGGCCTGCCATGGCAACCCGTGCGAGCCAGTGCTCCACCCCCAGAAGTTAACTGGGACCTTACCGCCGACACTTTCGGATTCTACCCCCCTGCAGACTATGGCAACTTGCGAGTTCGTTGTGCCGCTCCCTCCGTCGTCAATAATCGGCCTCCCCCGGCCGACCAGTTGCCCATTCTGCGCGCTGCAGTCGCGTCAATGGCCGCTTCCGGCATCATACAGCGTACCCGTCGGGGTCCCTACCTGAGCCCCATCCAGCTAGCACCCAAATCCACTACGGAGTCAAGGTTTATCCTTGACGCTAGCCACCTAACCCCGCACCTCAGTGCCCCCTCCTTTCGTCTTGACCCCCTCCCTAAAGTCCTCCTCCAGGTCCCCCTTCCCTCAAATGCTTATTTTATGAAGGTGGACCTGGCGGAGGCCTTTTACCACGTATCCCTTCACCCCTCTGCCCAGAGACTCACGACTTTTCGTCTCGATGGTGTTTATTTTTCTTTTACCAGACTACCTTTTGGGCTTCGCCCCGCTCCTTTCATCATGCAGTCCCTCGCGACCGCTTTTGCTAGAACCCTTCGTTCACGCGGGATCTGGGCGTGGGCGTACATCGACAATTTTCTTCTCGCACACCCAGATCCCTCGTTCCTTGCGCAACAAACCCAACTTTTCGTTCAACAACTAACTGTCTGCGGATTTCGTATAAATCCAAAAGACACGTGTCTTTCCCCCTCCACGAACATTAAGTTCCTCGGTTTTCAGCTTGATGCTACCGCGTCCACTATTGGTCACACCAAGCAGCGCGTTCAGTCCCTCGCGGACACTCTTCCGATGCTGGAAAACCCATGTACCCCAGCACAGTACCGTCGCCTTGCCGGCCTCTGGGCCTTCTACTTTTCTTTATATAGGTCCGGGTATAGTGCCCTCCGCCCCCTTTTTGACAGTACTCTTACCAACCATCCCCCTCCCCTCCAGTGGCTTCTCGTGTTCAGAGAACTGTGGCAAAGCCTCCCGCACACCCTACCGCTCGTTCCCACTCCGCCTGTGAATTTTTCTTTTGCGGATGCGTCGAACAATGGACTCGGTGTGGTGACGTCGACCTCTGCGCTCGCCATCCTGACGAGAACTGACCCACGCATCTACCTTCGAGAGGCAATGGCATGGACCATCGCGGCACTCCTGGCACCGATCTCATCAATGATCTTCACCGACAACCGCGCCCTCAGATGCGCCATCACCAACGGACACCTCCGTGCCCTCCCTTGGCACCTGACTGTAGCCATAACGGCGCTTGCAATAAAGAAGGATTTGCGAGCAAAATGGCTCCCAACAGAGCAGAACCCCGCCGACATGCCCTCACGCCTTCCGCACTTCTTTTCCGCCCATTCCCTTCCGGGATTGGCTGAGGGCATGTCGGAGGGGGGAGAGGAGGCATCCACTATAAAAGCAAATGCCTTCCTCTCTCTGCCAGTTGGTTGACTGAGAGAGGTTGGGACCTCCGTGTTGCTCTCGGATCCAGGTTTCTCATGAAAACCTGGATCCGAGAGCAACCACCTATGACTATAACCTGGTTTACCGACCCGGTGCACTCCATCAAAATGCGGATGCCCTGAGCCGTCTTCCAGGACGTCCAACTCGTACCGGGAGTGTAGTCCGGAATTCGAGCTTGCGCCATCCTCGCTGAACCATTCAGATCCCATCCTCGTCGCCAGTATTCAGTGGTGGTCTATTTACATATTATTTACAGGAGAAGACTGCCGAGATCGGAGGTGAGCTACGAGCCCTGCGAACATGTCGCTAGCTCAATCAGGAACAGTGCGTGAGGCGTGGCCCGTGCTGAGGCCGCGCGTCTTGCCTATTGCAAAATGAAGACGACGAAGTCCCATCGTAACATTGAGGGAAGAAAGTTTGTCAAAAGGGTACAAGGCCCAGGGGAGACGGTCCTCGATTATCTTGGGGCGCTTAGGCGCCTAGCCTCGTTTTGCGACTACGGAGAGTCCTTGGAGAGCCGCGTCGCGGAAATATTCATTTCGGGAATCCGTAACACGGAAGTTCAAGATCGTCTTATCAGAAAGTCCGGCGGAGCTAATGCACCTAGCCTCGAGCATGCCGTCCAGTTAGCGCAGCAGTTCGAGCAGACGTCTCGTGATTGCGATCTCTTCCGACGCCTGTCGTTGGACGCGACTTCGAACGCGCCGCACGTGGTCGATCGGGTTCAAGATGGACGCGGTTCCGACTGGGATGGTCAGCATGGAGGGCGGCCTCCCCGCCGCGGGTCTTTCCCTTTGGGGCGTGAGCGTCACCCTCTCCCCCCTTCTCCGTCGACCAAGAGCCCTTTCACTGCTCCCCTCCGAGGCGCGAGCCTCCCCCTCCTTTGTCGGGACGCGGGCGGCCATTTCCTCCTTCCCCGCCACGTCGAGGCTGGCCAGGGCCAGACCGCCGGCAACCGCAAGCGTCCTCTCGACCATCGGTCGGTGCGCACCCACGTGACCCTCCCCCCGGGGGCGCGTCCTCTCGTTCACGAGGACGGATGTTTGTTTTTTTTTGTGGAAGACGAAGCCACCCGAGGGATGAGTGCCCAGCATCTGGGGCCACACGTTTCTCGTGTGGCCGTCTGGGACACTTTGTCAATGTGTGTTGAAGCTGTCCGAGGGGCGACCGGGATCATCGTCAACTGGCTCTTCCTGCTGTAGTAGCCGCGGGGAATCTGCACGCGGCTACTACGACCGTCGCCAGGCTGGTCCGACAGGCACCTCCGTGCGAGGCGTCACCACGTTCTCGGACGACGATGACGACGAGCTGCGGCCCAGCGCCTACACGGTGTTGTCGCCCGGTGGTCGTCAGGAGCAACGAACCCGTCTCCAGCGCCGGAGCTTCACGGCCGATGTGGAGGTGAACAGTTTTCCTCTCTCCATTCTCATCGACGCCAGTGCTGAGGTTTCCCTCCAGTCGGACGCCACTTTTAACAGCATTAATCGGAGCGGCCGCATCAGGTTGTCAAAGCCGCCGCGCACTTTGGTGCACTACCTAAAGGGTTCAATTCCAGTTTTGGGCTGCTTCCACGCGAACGTCGTGTTCAAGGATCGCTTCGCGACGATCCTCTTCTACGTTGTACGCAACGGCCGTTCCCTACTTGGAGTTGACGCGGTGCATGACCTCAAAATGATCTTGTCTGGCGTACCACTAAAATGTTTCCACATCGACGCAGCTGCTCCCGGGACATGTAAACAAGGCTGAGGCCCCGCAGCCATCGTCCACGACGGACTCCAGTCCGTCCACCCACTTTTCTGGTGCCTTCGGCACTTTGTCGTCAGCTGCTCCCACAGCTCAAGATCCGTCGACCTCGTCAGTGGCCGCTCCCCGTCGTCAGTGAGTGATTGTTCCACGCTTCCTCCCGGTTTTGAGGAGTTCGAAGAACTTTTTTCGTCCGAGTTGGGTCTGGTTGTAAACCAGACACATACCGTCACGGTCCGTCATCATGTTCCACCCGTTCAGGCGAAGCTCCGTCGTTTACCGCTCACGCTGCGCTAGTCCGTAACGACCGAGATCCAGAAACTCGAACGTCAGGGCGTGATCGAGCGCGTCAGTGCCTCCGAGTGGGTCTCACTGATCGTGGTCGTAAAGAAGAAAGACGGCAATATCCACATGTGCGTTGATCTACGGGCTCCCAACCGCGCGGTCGTGGTCGACTCATTCCCGCTACCGCATATGACGAGCTCCTAAACTCGCTCAAAGGAGCACCTTGTTTTTTCAAACTCGACCTCGCGTCAGCTTACCATCAAGTGCGACTCGACCCCAAGAGTGTCAAGACCTCACAGCGTTTATCACGAATGAGGGTTTATTTCGCTTCAAGCGAGTCCGCTTCGGCCTGGCCTCCGTGCCAGCCGCGTTCCAACAAGTCATGTCAAAGATCCTTAAGGACTGCCCCAGCGTACAGTTCTACTTAGATGACGTGATCGTTTACGGATCGACACCTCAAGAGCATGACGCACACCTGCGTGAAGTCCTCCGACGGATCAAGTCCGCTGGCATGAAGTTGAACCGAAAGGCGGTTTTACGCGTCCCAACGTTGTCTTTTCTCAGCCATAGTCTATCCGCGGAAGGCGTAGCGACCCTTCCGTTCAAGATAGGAGCCGTTCTGGACTTTCCTACACCGTCCGATCCAACCCAACTCAAGGCATTCCTTGATCTAGTGGAATATTACAGCAAATTCATTCAACACTGCGCGACAGTGGTCGAACCGATGCGTCGTTTCTTGCGCAAAGGCAACTCTTTTTCTTGAACTTCCGACGTCGAGAGCACCTTCCAGGAAGTCAAGAGTGCTCTCCAGAAAGCATCCAGCTTAACGATGTTTGACCCGACGTTACCGGTCATTGTGTCTACCGATGCTTCGAACTACGGCCTCGGAGCAGTTCTGCAACAACAGCATGGACAGAAGCTCAAGACCGTGGCCTTTGCA